GGGTGGGTGGGTGGTGCATAAAAAAAACAGAAAATTGAAAATACAAAAAAGAAAAGAAAGTAAAAAAAAAAAATTTGAGGGGGTTTGTGCGGGGGGAAGGGGGGTGATGGTGGTAGGGTGGGTGTGTAGTGCAGAAAAAAAAATAGAAAATTAAAAATACAAAAAAAATGTAAAAAATATTTTTAGGGGGTTTGCGCGGGGGAGGGGGGGAGGGGGTTAGGGTAGGGTGGGTGAATGGGTGGTTCAGAAAAACAAAGAACAAAAAATTGAAAAATACAAAAAAAAAGGTAAAATTGGGGCAACTGAGTAAATTTTTAAATAAGTTGGGTTGAGATCCTTTTGTTTTGGGTGAGTTTCATGGGTTGTAGTTGGGTTGTTTAATGGATCAGAATGGGCTATAACAAATAATGGGTTAACTTAGGCTTAGTCCAAATTGATCCATGAGCTAATATATTTGTAGTCCAACCCATTAATCTCTGGGCGAGTTGAACGAGTTGGATGGGTTTGGGCTCAAATTGCCACCCTAGGTTCTACTTTTGCCACCAATAAAGGGTAAAAATTGTATGGGGTAGCCACTTTTTAAAGTGGTATTTACTTTTTATCCAGCATTTTCAATGCTTAGCAATAGTAGCCACTAGTCTATTAAAATTAATATGAAAAGACTCTGTTACCCTTTCTTCTATCTCTTCTCCTTCCCAAACCCTCTATCAATATTTCAAAATCCTGCTCGATCACATACTCCAAAAATATCAACCGGTACCAACTGGTTTAATGCAAATAATCTGAATTGCTAAGACTGAATTCGAATAATCTCATCCTTTTGAGTAGGAATTGGAAGGTGACCTTTCTCTTGTAGACTCTTCACCGTTTCATATAAGCACTGTTTCACTGGTGTAAACTCCAAACCCAATTCCTTTAGCTTTTGGTTTGAGAATTTGTACGGTTTTACCCTTACAATTAATTCTAAACAAAAATTAAATAAGATATAGAGCAAGAACATAAGATATTAACAAAGAAAAAGAATAGGGAAA